CATGTGTGATGGTTAAATTACAGGATTACGACTTAAGATTAGAGGGTGCTTTATTCTTAGAAGCAAACCCGGCCCTATTTATAACACTCGGCTTTTTTTTTTCTCTCTCTCTTTTTTTTTTTTTTTTTTTGCGACTCTGACCAACGCGATGGCAGCGCTGCGTGAGAACCAGGCCTGCATCGCTTAAGGTATGCGTGCCTGCCCTTACACGCCTGACGATGTTGATCCAACTCATCCATAGCTGAGCCAGACTTGTCAAATGCTCTTGCTCACCCGGGTTGACAGGCAAATTAGTGCACGCACTCGAGTTGAGCTGCGCCGAGAGCGCCTGCCCTTGACGCATCGCAATCAGAAGAGGTCGATTGTCTCCTTGGCCACATCCATGGCGACAACAAAACAGAGGGATTCAGTGGCGCCACGCCCCGTGGCTGTGTCGATGGAGGAGCACGATGTGCTAAACAGGCACGACAATGGCCCGAACAGCCATACAGAGCTGGACCGGCTGCAGCCTTTTCAACGTGCTCTTGCCTGTCCCAAGACAAACCCCGCCTACGTTCGACTGCCCAGTATGCTCCGCTGCCGCTCTCCACCGTACCGATCTGTGCACTTGCGTGAAGGATTTACAGCTTTGATTCTTCTCATTTCTCCCCCGCTTCCCTTTGATGGCTTGTGGTGACTGCACAGGCGAGGCCAACAGTTACCATGTTCTGCAACCCAGTCGCACTCCGGTTGAGGTATGCGCCGCTTATCCTTCATACGCACGCGTGCACAGCACATGGCACATGGCACATGGCACATGGCACATGGCACATGGCACATGGCACAGCGCGCGCGCTTCTTGGACGTCTAGTGCAGCCTCATGCGGCTCATCTGCCCAGGTTCCCCAGCTCGGGGCTCGCCATTGTGTCCTCTGTTGCCAAGCCACGGTGGCCCGCCCTGTCTTTCCGCCCTCTTGGGAAGGTCCGTACACCTCATCAAATAAAAGCCTCTATCATATCAGCCCATGGGGACTCTAGCTAACATCCCCCCTTGCTCATCATCTGCACTCGTGGATGATCCTCTGACACTTGCCCGCCCCTTCAATCAGATTTTCGATTCCACGGCTCCTGGGTCGAGGCAGCCCGCCGTCGCTTGTACGCAGACTGCAAGCTCTATTTCATGCCCGAAACCAAATTTGATATCAAGGTTGCAACATCGTCGTCTGCGTACTTCACTATTCTGTGCAACCCACCCAGCCTCTTGCCCGTGGACCTGCCCGCCCAGCCCCGCTCCACTTACGCGTCGTTCTTGTGCCACCTTTGCTTGCAACCACAGCTGAGTACACATCTTTGCAAGCGCTGCTTGTCTCGACACGGCGAGCATCGCGTCAACGCCGTCATGCAAGAATTAAAGCAGCTGGTGTGTGTTTGCCGCGAGCACAACCAGCACAGTTGCTCCCATATCATGCCCCATTGTTGTTGTTGTTGCTGCTGCTGCTGCTGTTGCTGCTCCGGCCATCCGCGGCATACTTACATGTCCACTCATCTGCGCATTAGACAATACAAGCAACTCAAGCCTCGCCCCTCCATGGCCTTACCAATTTCCTTTTACCGCCAAAACTCCTCTCCCCTTTGTTTCTGAGCTACCCAACCCGGCATGGTCAGCAGCCTCGCAAACGCTTGCGGAGCTCACCTTTCGCTGCTCTCCCCGCGGGCCGCAGACCCCAGGCCCCGTTGTTTGCTTGTTTGTTTTTGAAGCCATGGCAATGTCTACCCTGACCTCACCCTTGAATCGTTTAGGCAAATGCCACCCTCCCCATGTGCGCATGGGTGCTATTTCACCGGCCCCGCCTTCCAAAACGGTTGGTTCTCAAATTGCATATGATAGTGGCTGCCATCGTCGACACGTGACACTGACACCATCGGCACAGGGTTTGCAGCCACACCCCAATCAGGTTCACAACTTGCCGGCACCGGCCCAGAGCGACTCGAACGACCAAGCAGGAGAAGATGCAGAGCTGGCATTGGCTGCAGAGCGTGTCAGTGCCACGTACAACCTGGCCTCACTGCAGCTTCAGATGCGGCTGGAAGCCAACCTCGATCGCCTTGAGAGACAAGTGCAAGAGGTCTGTCTGACATGGCCATGGTGCCCTCGCCTGTACTGCTGCCCGCTCACCTCACGCATGGTGCACACATGATCCATATTCGGCCCCGGTGTTGGGAAAACTTCAAAAATAAAGTTGGAAATAGCCCCCCTGGATCCTGGAAAAACTTTTGCCGAGGCCGCAGCCGAGTTAGCCTATCACCAACAGCGCAAGGCTATGGTTGAGCGGTTACTTGCAGACGTGCATGCTCAACGGGACCACCTCAAGGCCCTCCTTGCCGATGTCAAGTCGGCGCAGCGCGCCACTAACCAAGCAGACAGCGCCCATGCCGAATCTGAGGCCGCGTCACAGCCAACGGCATATGACACCACCCAGTCCACGTTGCTGGACCAACTGCTGGCCGCAAATTACCAGGACAACCTGGCCCTTGGCGACAGTGAGGGTTTGTGGGAAGACTTGCGAAAGTTTAGTCAGCTGGCAGACACAGCTACCTCTCTCCTGCAGTCGGCTTCAAACGATTCCCGAGTGCGTGCCTGGACCCTTAATACAACAACCCGCGAACGCGAAACCGCTACTTGTAGGCATGACGCAATGGCGGTACAACTACCACCACTGCTGCTCAACCTCCGCCACGAGGAGCAGTTTCCCTCGTGGGGGCTCATGCGCCAGCAACACTTGATGAAGTCATTGGTGCCACATCGTTACTCCCTTCAAACCTACTATTACTACTACTTTTACCAGTATCTTTTCCTCATGTCCCAGCCCTGCGAGGCATCGGATACGCTGGGCGATCTCCCAGCCCTTGTATCTGCCACGTTTCCTGAAGTCCACCCCACTCACTCCCACTCAGACGCCGAACTCTCAAGCGAACAACGTCGCTCTCCTGGCAAGAGGTCTCGCCGCCCCGACGACGATGTATCTCCGCCGGTGGCTGCTCCAGCCGCGAGCACAAATGACACCCTTGCCACAAGGGCTGCAGAGACAATGGCGCCGAATGACTTGGGTAGGTTGAGACCTTTTTCCTCGTTCGCTGGAACTGGACGACCAACCCACCATCCTTCACCTGTAGCCCTACAACTGATATTTGGGTGGCCGCCTCTGTGTGTTTTCAGTGGTGGTTCTACCGACTCAGGAGGAGCTCGAGCTGCTTCCAGCCGCAGTACAGGCAACCGCCCGGTTAGCCCATGACATCGTGCACAAGACTGCGAGCCACAATCAACGTTCGAAAAAGGTTTGGCCAATTCTTGTGCTTATCAGTTGCTCATGCCCAGTTCAATCGATGAATGCGAAACAGGCCGAGTTGTCTCCCGACCCCTCATTCGGTCTGCTTGCTGCGATTGGGAACAGCTATTGCATGCCCTTTGGTGTGAGGTCCGCAGTGCTGTTGTTGGCGTGTTCAATGGTACATTTACAAATAAGAACATGGATGTTGCTGGGTTCCGAAAAATTGTTCAAAGGTCTGTATCCTTCTCGACTTCTTTCCGCTGTCACAGGAGGGCAAAATTCTTTGCACCCTCACAGCAAAGCTGTTATTTCTATCTCGCTTGTGTAGCCTTGCGCAACGCGACCCCAGGCAGTTGTTCTGCAAGCTGGAGCAGGAGGCCCGTTCCTGGACACTACGATGTCGGGGTTTCCTTCTAGCCACACTCAACGACCAAAGCGCCCGCGCCGAAGACTTTGCTGCCGCTGTGATCAACTTGTACATCACCACACTGCGTGCTGCCAATGTGAGCGACTGACATTTCTGGCTGATCTCGTTGCCCATTATGGTTCTTTGTGGCTTCGACTTTGCATCGTCGCTTTTGTAGCGCCACGAAGAAAGCTGTGCTTCATTCTGACCCGGCCCGTCTCCAGTTGCAAAATGGCTTCCTAGCTCCATTGCATGAAATTCCACTTCTTCGGCGATTGGGGCTTGATTGGATTACACTCAACAAACATCTTTTCATGGTTCATGTTCTCAATCATGATTCGATCATGGAGCGTGCGTGCTTGCCTTGCCATGAGACGATGTGCCTCCTTGTACCCAGTCACATAGCACCAGACGTGTTCTGATCAGATGTGCTGAAATATGGTAGGCTTTGACGAAGCTATTCCTGTGAATCAGCGCCGAGTATCCTCCTTATTGGTCAAGCAAAGCTTGGCTGCAGCCACTCAGAGCGCCAGCCTCAAGGGTGAGTTTCGTATCCTGATGTGCCAAGGTTGTGGTCCTTCGCCTCTTCCGCTCTGTTCTCAAACTTTTTCGGCCATGTACTGCGTAGGCCCTTTGGGAACAGGGGATGACAAACATTGGAGTGACCCCACCGTCATCCAGCTCAGCCTCAAAAAGGTTTGATGATGCTCCACTGTTCACTTCTCGGTTCCGAACCTGTTTGCCTGTACTGACTGTTCTTTGCCACTGCTCACGAAATGATGTCATCTGCTGCGGGATGGAGATAGTCACTTGCGTCGATGCTAGAAGCTGGACTGGTCCTGCAAGATTACTGTCAAATGTGCTGGCGCTTGGTCGAGTGCGTGTTGCAAGCGTGACATATTGCGTGGGCAGGCGTTGGGCTACTTGCTGCCCTCTTTTGGGGAAAGTCATTCCTCACATGATCCATCGTCTTTACTGGTATCCGCGTGTCGGATTGGCTTTCATTGGCAGCTTGACAACAGAGCATGCGCTCAAGTCGCGCCTGGAAGCAGAAGCCAATACCAGCCAGCCTCGCACGTGGGCTCATGGCAACGAACTGGCCTTTGTTACGGCTATTCGGCAGCTTTTGCCCGCCCCGTTTGCTGTCGATCTAACTCAGATCCCTGCTTTACAAGGCTCTCCCATGTGGATCGCTGGTTTTCAAGACAGTGGTGCACAGCCAACCGCTGCCCAAGCGGTAAGCTTGCGCTCTCGAGAGACAAAGGTCCCTAGCACCCGCCTCTGCAATCCCGAGCCTATGATTCCGACCTCTCCTCATGCTCCCCTGTCGACCGTCATGCCACGATGTATTTGATAGGCCAGCGCCGATCACGTAATGCTCGCCACCTTCCAAAGCCAAAATCATGAGCTAAGGCAATGCTATCTCACCTTTCCTCAGCTGCAGGCGGTTGTGCACGACACCAACGCACTGCTAGCCGTGGTTGCCTTGCAGCCCACAGCCCACCTGACTCAGCTCGCACCGCACTTTCGCTGGCCAAGCTGTACTGCCTTTGGCCATACTCAAGATCTTGCTGCTGAGGGCGCATGGACCAGTGCGGCGCAAGAATCAGGTGAAGCAATGGAGGGCCTAGGCTCAGAGATCAACGAGGATGGCAACTTTGAGCTGACGCCCAGTCAAAAAAGAGTGTTGTTTTCCCAACCGCCAGAGCTGCGTACACTTTTGGGAGAGCTAGCTGATCTCGCGCGCAATATGCGCTTTGACGGTGGCGATCCGACGGCACATGCAACTCCAAACCTGGCTGAAGAAAGCCGCGTTTCTTCAAGCGCTGCGCCCGCCTCTACACGAGGCGAGCGCGTCGCTGCCTCAGACGCCCGCATACCTGATAGCCTCAAGGTTCTACAATCTCTCTCTCTCCCTCCCTCTCCCTCTCTTTCCCTCTCTCTCCCTCTCTTTCCCTCCCTCTCTCTCTCTTTCCCTCCCTCCCTCTTCCCACCTTCTTCATTGCTCATGTGTGCTTCTCGCTTTTTGTGGGGATTTTTGTGTCTCCGCATATTTGCTCCTTCTGCAGGTCTCAGATGCATCAACTGCATTGACTGCATGCGTGACATCATGGCTTGTTGCCCAACCCGCGATGCTTCAGTCCCCTGCTTTGGTGGACCTTTTGCGGCGCGTAAGGCGTCCATTAACCAGCGTCATGCTCACACCAGACGTTCTGGCCTATACGAGCGATCAACACGATGTACCACCCAGCCATGAGCGTATCTTTGATGTCAAGGTTTGTTGCGAGCATTGTGTCGGTGTTCTTCAACGCTCATTGAGGTTGACGCATAGAAGGATTGGTATGTCTAAATCCTGGGTCTGACGTGTGCGTGTATCGGCTTGCCCATACCCATCTTTGTTATCCCGATCAGGCGATTCACCTTGCTGGTGACACGCGGCGCCATCGCCCCGTGACCTTTGGCTTGCTGCCGGTCAACTCGCGACTAAACTGCCGTACGACCCATCTGCCAGTCTTTGCAGTGCCAGCGAGCCGGCCGCATCAAAAAGAATGACATGATGTCCCTCACCATATTTGCCACTCTTCTGGTTTCTTTGCTGTTTGCCTGCCTCCTTGCCTCTTTGCATCTTCAGCCGGCCCGGGTTTGCGGCAAGGCGTTGTGGCGTGGCCGGATTTAGATGAATTCTGCGCCATGGCACCTCCGGCTTTACCAGAGTTTTCTGAGCGTACGTACAGCAACGGGGGTTGATCAGCTGAGTTGGGATTCAACTTTGGGTTTGGCACTCACAACGACCCTGTAGATCTCATCTTCGCTCTGCCTGGGTCGTTTCTTTTGCACATCAGATGTTGGATTGCTGACTCTTCCCTTGACCGTTTGCTATGGCATGGATGCTCTGTCAGCCACCACGAGCGAAGATTCGGCCATGGAACTGGCTCAAAACGCTTGTCACTCGCAGTTTGCTGTGGGCCGGCCCGCTCTGGAAGCCCCCAGCCCCGGTAGGAGTGGGCGTTTCGATGGCCTGGTTCAAGTTCACACGGAAGCGCTTGGTATAGCCATCGGCAAGCTGGCCCAGGACTACCAGCTGCAATCGGCAAAGAACCTTATCCGTCAGCTCGAGTCAACATCCCACTTTCTGGCCCGCGCGTCGCAGTCCTCGCTATCGGATACCGATGGGGATGTACCAGCTCTTGATCAGGATGATGTTCGCATCGTGGAAGCCATCTTACGAACTCCCGTGGATCCACAACGCTTTTCGGTGCCACCCAAGCCCTTACAGCCTAAAGAGGCAGGCGTTGACCCCGTGACTGGCTTCAACGCGCTGTCTGGCTTTGGTAAGCTCACTTGCATTTGTTGATCTTGATGTTTCGAGGCAATGAGAAGCAGGGGACAGAACAACGCTGTGATGAGAGTCACCGGTGTGCTTATCGATCTTGCTTGCTTCACAGTGGCTCGGATGTCGCATACAACGCACGAAATGAGTTCGGTGCCAGCCACGCGGCAAGCCGGCGCTTTGGTACCTGGCTTGGCCAATCCTCTCGTAAAAGAAACGTCCAGTTGTTCGAATGGAATGACTGCTGTCATGCCAGACTCTGAGGGCTGCCGTTCGCCCCAGACAAACGAGTCACCAAAACCTATCTGGACGCCGCTCAAGCAGGCCCTCGCTGCTTCTGCTCAGCATGAATCACCCGAGTTTTTGCCTGTCTTGGCAGCACACGTGGCCTCGGAAGCAATCGCGAACATCTCTGTTGAGGACAAGCGCAATGAGAGTGTGCTTCCTGAGCAACCTAGCCGCCCCGACTATGTCGCCTTGGTATGTTTGCTGCTTGCCCCTGCTGCCAGGTGTGATTGGCGTGCTGCTCTTTTGTGAACATTCCGCTCATGTTCTATGCAGTTACCGCCCCCTTTGGACGGGTTGCCCGCTTTACCGCTATCGCAACAGTTCCTGTCACTGCTTGCACGAGAGCACGAATCGATTGTCCCAGCATCGCAGTTCATTGCGGCCGATCCTTTTGCGTCTGGTGCTCGTGAAATTGAGGCTGATTCACGGGCGCTACCGCCGCTCTACACGGTCTGGTTTAACTTGTCTTGTAGTGCACCTGTCGTGGCAGCTCATGGAGCAAACACTGTCTGACTTCTGCTGCTCGTGGCCTCTCTTGTTCTCACTTCGCGGTCTACTGTGCTTTTGTTCAACTTGCCGGGCGAGCACAGCTGTCGGGCCTGCGTTTGCCCATTGTGCTGCCACATGCACGCACTGATATGCAGCCGTTTGAGGAGTTTGATGCTGTCATGGTGCGTCTGCGGTGTGTTCGACAAAGCCGCAATTCGCACCTCAATACGCGTGCTCTGTCTCTGTCCTAGGACAAATTTAAAACTATATTTGCACAAACCGCAAAGGTTGCCCCTGACTACAGCAGTGTCGAGCCCTGCAACGCCGGAGCTTTTGATGTTCGCCATGCCCACGGTGGCCCAGCAGCCCGACCACGCATTAGCAGCATGAACGTTCCGCCACCCCCGTTAAACTTGGCAGTGCCGGCTGGTGATCCCCTGGCCTCTTATTCTCAGTCCGATGCCGGTACGTGCGGCGAGCAGGCCGAGTGGCGGTTTGGCGCTGCGTCTGCTTGTCCCTATACCTCCACCTATCTTTCTGGCCTACAATTGAAATGAGGCCCTGGTCTCACGCTGTGCCTGTCTGGTGTTTGACTCGAGCAGCTGACGTTGCGCTACCAACGAGCATGGCACCGGATGAACCCATCCCGGTTCCACACCCTACAACTTGCCGGTGTTCTTATTGCAACTTGTTCAACACTGACGGTATGCCCCTTTGACGAAGATTGCAAGGCCGTTGCGCGTCATCGCCGCCACCGCCACCACCACCACCACCACCCAAATTTTTACGCATTACTAGCACTGTTAAAGCGCCTTTATTAACTTACATTGCCCTTGTTCGCGTGTGCTTTGTGTCTTTCACAGAATATGGCGAACGACGCGACGCGCGCCACGGACCGCAGGCCATGCGACAACGCCTTCAGCAGCTCCGTGCCCATCGCCAGCCTAAACAGGATGAGGCTGGCCCCGTGGACAGCGTTGAAGACACACGGTCACTTGATGAGCTGCTCAATTTTATCGAGGGAGCCCAGCGGGACTCAGGCTCGAGTCACGCTCCAAATGCTGCTTCTAGTGATAACCTCGTCAAGACCAAGTCCAAGAAGAAAAAGAAGAAAAGCAAAAGCAAAAAGGCATGTGTCATGCAGTGTACATGTAACGTTGACTGCTCACACGCAAGCGCCGGTTGACCTTCACGGCCCACTCGCTCATGCATTCTTGTGCCTATTGCTTGACAGGCGCTCAGTGCCCCCTCAGCCATTGAGGGCCCGGGGGTAAAATCCTTGGATGCTCCTGCACCAGCAAGCAAAGCAGCAACTGTGACACCAACAAATCAAGCTTCTGGGTCCATGGTGGCACCCAAGGCCGAATCTGCTGTCACACTTGAAGAAGGCCCGGTCAGTGTGGACTTGGACGATAGTGCGCTGGCGGAGCAGGCTGGCGCTGCGGCCCAGCTTTTCCCTGGAGGGTTGGCAGCCGCTCTTTTGGCTGGGGACTTGTTAGAGGACGACCCTCAAGACGACCCGGAATTGCTTCGCGAAATGGAAGCGTTAAAGTCGCAGTTGCAGGGTAAGACGTAGCCATGCCGTCGAAAGGATGATGAAGAAGAAAGGACTTGAGAGAGAGAATGAAAGCGAGGGTTTTAGACACTTGTGTGGACGACATTCTGATCGACAATCCGTTGTGCATCATTCCGTGTGTGGTAGAAAAACGCCAGCAACAAGGACATTCCGTTGATTCTTGAAAGATTTTTCTGGTTGATTGCAGGGTCGGGGTGAAAGAATTGACTCGACTACTCGTATATATTCATTCATTTTTATTTAAAAGTCGATTTCTGATCTCTAGAATGCTGTTTGGTGTGTTTCCACGGCTTGGTCTCGCAAGCAGAATGCAGCCGCTTTGAGAATGCTTGGGCTGGGTTTAACCACAACCGTGCGCGTCAAGTAAACGTGTATGCAAGCCCTATAACTCGCTCTCGGCCTGTTCTTCCCAGGCCACGGATGCCATTGGGTTGCTTGCGTGGCCGGTCAGCGCTGGCACGCTCGATAAGCGCTGCACAGCCACCATGACGTGCGCTGCTGTAGGCCGAGATGACGGGCGTGAGTGCCACATCTCACGCACCAATCTAAAATCGGGCAAACACAAGGCGAACAAGGGCAGGTGCCATGAGTGGCATGGCGAGGCTTGCATTTGAACTTATTCAAAAGGGAAGATAGTTACGTACGTCTGCAAGGCAGGTGGTAAGCGGTCGGTGGCGAGACGTTGCCCGCTGTTCAACATTTCAACCATCATTTGCAGCGTAAAGTTTCCGTAGGGGGTCTGTCCGTTCTGAAAGATCTGCCATGCGCGAAAAACCAGAAGTGGCGTGACTGTTCTTCCCCCTTATTTGCTTTGGATCAATGGCGAGGGGGTGGGAGGAGGCACCAAAGGCAAAGGAACTCGCGAGTGTGCCCGGTTGTAGCCTGTGATGATGACCAACCTCCCATGCAGTAACCCCTAGCGCCCAGACATCCGATGCCGTGGTAAATTGACCTTTTTGAAGCGCCTCCAGCGCCATCCAGCTACGCAGTAGCATAATGTTCGCAAGATATGAAGCGACCGCGCAAACTAAGTGTCAAACGCTAACACGCATATGCAAGGCGTGCTCGATGCCAATCTCAACTCACCGGAACGGCAAGCTATCGAGCTGAGATGTGCGGTAATAGTCCTCGGAATTTCGCAAGAAACGACTCACTATCCCAGTTGCATGTCAACAAGTCAGATCAAGCGAAGCCTTGAGCTGTCTCCGTGCGGGCACGATGGCAGCAGCAGCCTGATTTGCCAACTCACGGCCAACGTCGCCTAGTTTTGCGACCAGAGCTCCATTTCGATCGGAGAAAAGAAGAACATTCCGACTTGCAACGTCGCGGTGGACTAGACGATGTGCGTGAAGATGGGCCAGTCCATCGGCAATGTGCATCAAAAGTAAGATCTAAAGGGATATTGCCAAGGCGCAGTCGTCCACTCGGGCCGTGAATACGATACCAGTTCAGCAGCTCATCACATCGAGCTTTAAGGCATGAATCCGATGATGCACGCATTCTGGCGGCATCAACGCTTACTCGCTCGAGTTCACCAAGCCGTTTTCCAGGGCTGAGCAGGTAAGCACGCAGACTTCCAAGGTTCGCGAGCTCAAAAACTAAAGCAATTGGCATGCTAGTAAACATCGCATGAGGAAGCATGGGTGAGATTGGCGTGCAAAATTTGCAAATCAGAGGTTGAGTGGAATCGGGAATGATTGGAAAGATGTCCTGGGGCCGACGTGGTCACGAGCGCGTGAACACACACACACACACACACAAACAAACAAACAAACAAACACACACAAACAAACAAAACAGAGAAAATTGGGCTCAACGCACCTATCATGCACGATGCCTAGCAGCTTCACTAGATGCGGGTGTGGTGGTATTAAATGCAGTGTGGCAGCCTCCAACATAGCAGCTTTGTGATCCATGTCCTGCACCGGGGTCACAAACTTGATCGATGAGCAAATGTGTGAACAATGCCTATGCCAACGCCTGTCACGAACCTTGACAGAAAAGGTTTTGAGTGCGACAACGGGCGGAAAATTCTTGATGTGTTGGAGCGGAGCGGCCTGCATGGTGCATGCGTCAGGCAAAGTCCACCATGAAAGCAAAAGCCAACAGAGCTGGAACATGACAGGAAACTCCCACACGCAAAGGAACGCACTTCATACACGGCCCCGAAGTTGCCCTTGCCAAGGGTAGACCCGATGCGGAGCCATGATCTATCAAGTCAACATGGACATAATGACCAGGCGTGCGCGCACAGCACCCCATCCTCTACATGGCTCGCACGGGAACAGTGGAACAAACACTGCCAAGCGCTTGTGGGGGCACGACAAGACTTACGCCGAAAGAAGGGTCATCGGTTCTTGCCGGCGCGTTTGAAGTACTTCGGAGAGACGTGGGGCATCTTGACCATTCTCTGGCAATGACTGCAGTTGCACGGCGATTTGCTGCAAACACATCTCCAGTTGACCGGCAGCCGACATCGGTATGGCCGAGCCCAAGGCATCGGCAGGTTCCAAACGATGTGTCGTGCGCGCGCGCCACCAAACAATGAAACAAAGGACAACAACCAAACAACCGCCCACTATGGATCCAAGGATCACTGCCATATTTTGTGGTTGCTGAGACGTGAGCGATTTGGGGGCCCTCGTAGAGGTGTGGTCTACTAAAGCTGTTGTTACCTCAATGCTGGCTTGCGTGGTGCTAGGACCAGCGACCCTGAGAATGCCCAAGCCAAGACAGGACTTGGCAGTGAGCGGACATACACACCAACAGAGTAATGCACACACGGAAGTCCAACAGCGGGCGACTGTCTTACAAGAAGTTTGGATTCCATAAGAGGGTGCTTCGCTCGGCGCTGGTTGAGACCAGATCGAGACGACCATCGTTATTGATATCAGCAAACGCCACGTCCGATGCCCCTCGATCCAGCAGGGAAATGGGCAGCATGGTAGAAAAGCTGTCCTCGCCCTCGTTCCTCAACCATACAATGCGGAGGGTCGTGCTCAGTGCAGCCACGACATCAACTCGACCATCCATATCTATGTCTTGCAACCAAAATCCTCTCACAACCGAGACCGTGGTGCCTTGCAAAATCACCCCATGATGATCCCATGCCGCATCCAGTGAGTTGCGAAACCAGCTGATGGTATAGTCAAGTGTACCCACAACCAGATCAAGCAAATCGTCGCCATCCATATCAGCAACATCGAGATACAGGATTGGCCCACCCGCGGCTACAAGTGCCTGCGCCGGGGCCACTGCGCCCTGGCCAAGGCCTCTCAAGCACCACACAATAGCATGGGATGTATCAGACACCATTAGATCCCGATGCGAGTCTTGGTCAATATCTCCCACAGCGAGGGCGATGGTTGACACCGCGGCATTGGCACTGTGCAATACAGCCCGTATACCAAATGAACCGTTGCCAAAGCCGCGGTACCAGCCCACGCTACCGTCCCCGCATTCAGCTGTGAGTAGATCCAGGTGGTCGTCGCCATTCCAATCGAGCACGTTCATGGCACAGATTTGTGAGGCGCCAGAATCAATCGTGATGGGAGATGAAAATCTACCATTACCCAAATTGGAAAGCCAAGCCAATGTGCTGAGTGTCGGGCTGGCTGTGAGCACATCCACGAGGCCGTCCTCGTTCAAATCGCAAGTGTCAACGATAGCCACGCCGGAGCCACGGCTCTCCTGCACCAAGCGAGCACTACCAAAGCTCCCGTTGTTTAAATTCTTATACCACAGCACGGTACCATCCACCGAACTGGCTACAAGCGCATCGACGAGGCCGTCCTGATCAAAATCGGCGGTTGCACACGGGCCAGGTCGATCCATGTCTGACTCGAATATGGTCCTTTCCTCTCCAAAAAGTCGTCTTGTGTACACGGTGTCCGTGGAACCGGCATTACGACGCCAAACAAGACCAGTGGTGCGGCGCGATGCATGCACGAGATCAAGCCAACCGTCTCCGTCCACATCCAAGGCTGCAATGCTATTTAGATCACCCGTGGATATTTGCAAGGGCGAAGAAAAGGATGCATTGCCAAGATTGAGGAACCAAGTGAAGAACTCGTTCCCAGTGATGAACAACATGTCTGGAGCACCGCTTTGAGTAAAGTCTTCAAGAATAATTTGCCGAACGTCGTGAAGGCGGATTGTCAGGTTGGTGGAAAACCCATGCCCTGAAGCGAGGCGGTTTTGTACAAACAAAGCGCTGTTGTCTCCGCCCACCACCACGTCTACCGCGCTATCGCCGTCCACATCTCGTACACTCACAGCCTGTGCCTTGTCGAGGCCCTGCACGATGAGCTGCCAAGATGAAAAGGAGCCATTGCCCTGGCTCGGCCACCATAGTACACGGCCTTCGTTGATACATGGCGCCACGATGTCAAGCCAACCATCGCCATTCAAGTCTCCGGCAGCCAGCTGGCGCGGGCCATCGCACAAGCCGGGCAGGATTTGCACTGAGCTGGCGTTGAAGGCGCCGTGTGCATTTGGGTACCAGACAATGCGATCATTGCCATAGTCGGAAACTACCAAGTCCAGGAAACCGTCGTTGTCTAGATCCTCTGCGAGTAGTCCGCGAACTTCATCGTGCACCGTCGACACAATAATACCGGCAGAAAAGTTGCCACCGCCTGTATTTCTAAACCAGACCAACGAGTCATCATTGGTACTGCCGGCCGCCACGTCCACCCACCCGTCGTGGTCAAAGTCACCAACAGCGCCCTGGAAGGCCGCATGGATAACGCCAACAAGTCGCTGCGGCCCAAAGGTTCCATTGCCCAAATTTCGGTACCAAGTCACTTGATCGTTGTAGGAAGCGACTGATATCACATCTACCCAACCATCGTTGTCCAGATCAGCAGTCAGCACATCCCTGATGTCAACGACCGCCTTGGAGATGTCATTGTTGGTCCAGGTGAGTTGATAGCTGTCGCTTGTTGGTGGGATGGCCGCAAACGAGATGCTGACCAGAACCGCGAGGACGGCCAAGCCAGCCCATCGTCCCTTTGCCATTCCAAGCGTGGAGTACCCATGCATGCCTGCCTCAAACCTGACCCCCCCCCCCCGCTTGTTCACGCCTCGAACCTCAATGCAAGCTGGACATTGCCGTTCTCATCCCAACCTTTTGCCAAGACGACAGCCACCAAGATCCGTGTCCAATCCATCCAAAAAAAAAAAAAGAGAGAGAGAGAGAGAGCAGGGAGGGATGAATGAAAAAGTTGTAAAAAAGATCTCTCACATGACATGTGTTGTTTTCTTGCGATTTCTTCATGTTGGATTGACAATAAGGCATGTTGTATGAGGGAGGCAGCGGTGACAACGGCACCCATTCAAGCTGAACGACATCAAGTCGACCATCTTCAATTGCATTGATAGACACCTGAATTTACATGTTAAGTTTGCTTTTCTTGTGGCCATGGAAACAAGCATCAGACTCAGAAAGGAAGAGGGGTGGGGAAAACAACGGGCAAAAGGCAGAATAGGTCCTTTTTTTGAACAAAAATTGAGGTAACATGGCAGAGCTTAGCGTCCATAAGCGCTACCGTAAGCACCGGCATACTGCTGTTGTTGTTGCTGAGGCTGTTGTTGATAGCTCATGTTGTAGGCGCCCTGCTGGCCACGCTGGCCCTGTGCACCTGCAGCCGTCTGATACTGGAGGTGGGTGGGTTGTTGCTGGGCCTGCTGTTGGCCTTGCACCTGACCCTGGGCGCTATACGCGTTACCATAAGCACCTCGCTGTGCCGTTTGCTGCATGCCTTGTTGGTTGTAACCGCCGTAGCTGTTGGCCGCACCAGCCATTTGGCCTTGGTTGTAACCCATCTGACCATAACCTCCAGCTGTCTGCAGGCCAGCAGCACCGCGCTGGCCAGCCGTCATGCCGGCACCACCAGCGGCACCGCTCATGTTGCCAGCAACGCCGCCAGCTGCACCAGCCATGCCGCCAGCTGCCATGCCACCCATGCCACTGCCGGGCATGCCGGGCATACCGCCCGCAGCCATACCACCCATGCCGCCCATCCCGGGCATGCCACCCATACCAGGCATCATCTGCATCATGCCATACTGCAGGATCGTGTAGCGAAGATCGAGGTGAGAACGAGACGTGAAGCACGCGTTCAAAGCGGAGCATCAGCAGCTCTCACCGCATTGGGCATCATGCCATAGCCCATGCCACCCATGGGAGCACCACGACCACCCCGGAACTGCGTATACGGAAAAGGAGACACAAGATACAGCGTGAAGACCGGGTCACATTGTGGAGATGGGAGAGCGCAAATGATCAATGACGCATGATGAACACTGCTGGGCGACTGGTATCGTATCCGCCATACTTGGCCTGACGTGCCACCACGGCTGGAGGGATCGGCGCTGTTGCCGGTGCGCTTGGTGGCCGGACCAGTGCGAATCTAGAGACAACGCCAAAGCACGTCAGGCGTGCACGTAGAAGATAGGTGCACAATGAGTGGTGCGGTAAGAGCCCCCATTGATCGGAGAAAAGAAGAAGAGAAATGAAAAGGCCCGGGGGGCGGGGGGCGGGAGGCAATGGGGCTTGTGTTCAAGAGTGATGGAGATGGCCGCACCTGGCGATCGCCGATGAAGCTGTTATGCATGGCACGCATGGCTTCGGAAGCCGTGTTGCGGTCGGCAAAGGTCACAAAACCGAACCCACGAGAACGGTTTGTCTCGCGCTCGAGGATCACATTGGCCGACAGGGGGCTGTAACGCTCAAAGTGGCGGAGCAAGTCCTGTTCGCGCGCTTCGTATGGGATGCCACCAACAAAGACCTTGCAGTTGGGATCGTCTGGGGTAGCAGGCTGGCCGGGTGCCGCAGGACGACCCATGCCACCAGCTCCACCCGCTGGCATGGAACCAAGGGGGGCTGACTGAGTCAGTGGCGTATGGACCGCGGAAGTGGCCGGTGCGGGCGCAGGGTGTGTTTGGGCAGGTGCGCTAGACATTTGAGTGGTGGTGTTGGTGTTTGGGGCTGCTGGCACAGGCACGTTTTGCGGGGCAGCGGTGGGCGCGGATGTTGATGTGGACGAAGTTGTCGACGTTACAGGCGCAGGCACCGTGGAAGGAGCCCCAGTCGAGGTGGAGGCGGGAGCACTTGAGGAAGCAGGCCTAAATAATTGATCATGCGGGCACAAGAGGCAGCAAAAGGAAAACGCCATCAAGTGAGATAGCAAGTCGATCATTCACTGTGTCGTGTGCAAAAGCTTTGCATAGGTATGACATGTTCTTTTATGCGATGGAACATGGGTTGGCGGACAAGGAAGGAACAAAGGGGGGTCGTGGGGCTGCAAGGCGCAAGAAAGAAGAAGCACAAGGCCAAGAACACAACGACATACGCAGCAGGGGTGCTGCCAGGGGTGGTAGCAGTGGTTGCAGTGGACTGAGCAACACTCGAATTTGACTGGGCGGTGTCAAGTGAGGTTGGTCAAAAACAAATTGACAAACGACCGATCCGAGTTCAAGCCGAGGATAGTAGTCACGACAATCAGGAACAACGGCAAGGTCCAAGAGTTTTGGGGAAGGGCGGAATGCCATCGTCCATAGGCACCCGATACACGCGCACACAAAAGTCCGGCGTTGCAAAATGGAAGAATGAGCATCCGCATCAGAAATATCGCAGGAGCGTGACGCGACGAAGCGCAGAAAGCCAGCACCGTTCAAAGTTGAGAGGGGAAAGAGTTGCGGTGTCCACAACGAAAATTACCAGCCAGCACGAGTCCGATCAAGGTTGATCCAAGTTCCAAGCAAGGCCAAAACACGAAGCGCCAGAGCGGTAGGGGAGAGGCGGAACGGTCACGGGAAAGGACAGAAGAAAAAAATCAAAGGATCAAGTGAGAGATACATAAAGGTCCCCACCATCGATCAGACAAAAGTTGAAACAAAGGAGAGAGAGAGAGAGAAAAAAAAAATTAAAAGAAAAAAAGGGGGGGGGGAACTTCTCCATCAGCATCATGGCTTGACATGCCACTGCCAAGCAACAACGCACAACAGCCGGGCTGACAAAGCCCGACACCAGTCGAGAGGCTTGGCAGAGCAGAGCGGTCATGAAAACTTGACAACAATAAAGGCACAAAACTTACGGCTGTACATGTTCGAAGATGTAACGACGCAGGCGGGCCAGACAGGATACAGGTGCACAAGACATGGGGTCAAGTTCCAAGGATACCATGAAACCAGACGAAGAACCACACACAATATCAGCAGACCAGACCCAAGTGACAGGTTGAAACATTCAAGATGGGTATGAGAGGAGCATCAGGACGAGCACAGCGAAGGCAGGACGGGAGTGCTGAAAGGCGCTTAAACCCGAGGTGGGTCAATGGATGAAGGCATCTTCGGACCAGTGTTCCCCTTCCCCCTTTGTTGTTCTTCCCTTGCTCCCTCGTCTGTTGTGCCTGTCGCCTCAGGCCATCACAAGGGCGTATTTGTGTTGACAGTCTGAAGCAACGTGTGCACCCCAGGTGGGGCGCGGTCAAACTTACGTTGGGCTTGCTTGTTTTCCAGATATTCCTTGAGGCGCTCTTGCAGCTCGGCCTTGCGCCCAGTGGAGTTGAGATTGGCTTTGGTACAGGCAGCACGCAGTTGGGTCACCTTGAGATCTTCCAGCTCACCGACGGTGAGGGTTTCCAGGTCGATGGTGTCATCCATGGTGTTTTGGTGGCGGGAGGTCAACTCAGAAAGCCGAAAAAAAACTCTTCAAGACGGAGAAAGGGCGGGGAGAGCGGAAGGAGGAGAAGAAGAAGAAGGAGGAGGAGGAGCAGAGGGAAGCAGGAACCAAACGTCCAACGACCACGAATGCAATTCGGCAACAGGAGGAGCAAGAGAAGAAAAATGGAGAAGAGACGGCAAACAAAAGTGTGATGGGGAGCGAGGGGGGGTGCCGAGCGAAAAGTTCACACCTGTAGCAAGCAGCGGCGACTACGGAGGCAAATCGAAGCGAGGAGGGCAGTTGGAGATCAAGTTGATCGAGAAGTAGGCAACGGGAGGGGAAGCAGTCGATGAGATCCCCGAGAGCAGAGCCAAGACAAGGCGACGAGCGACGACGACGACGACGACGAGCGACGATGGCGATGGCAAGCGATCAGCGCTCACCGTGCAACAGAAAACGGCTCAAAGCCACTGAACACACGAGAACACGAGACAAAGGGGTGAAACAAAGAGAGAAGAGAGAGAGAGAGAGAGAGAGAGAGAGAGAGAGAGAGAGAGAGAGAGAGAGAGAGACTCTCTCTGCTTATGCCTTTATCTCTCTTTTTGTTGAAAAATTTTGGGCCGCGAGAGGTTTTGGCGGGGGTCAAATTGTACGTTCAGTCGAAGACAAGACCCCGGACATTGTCATACATAAAACGGATGACAATACGAATCTGCTGTGTTATGTAGGAGGTGGTGTTTATACATTATGGCCTGTGCAGTCTCAGATGGTCAACAAATGCAGAGGTGCATGCGTTTATTGTAGCTGCGGTGTGCGGTACAAAAGGTTTTGACACGAGCGACCACTGGCTACTTGTTGCAGATGATCTACCGGTTTGTGTAGCGTGATACGGCGATTGGCTGTGTTGTGGTGATGTGGCAGCATTTTCATTTTCTCGCCCCGCGTCGCGGTTCCAAATCTCTCTCTCTTGCTCGCTCGCTCTCTCTCTCTCTCTCTCGGTGCGGTACGTGTCTTCAAAACGACCGAATCCTGTTTGCGGACGGGCAGGGGCGGGATCTCTGTTTGATCAGCTCGCACCCGTGGCCTGGTTGGTTTGGGGAAAAAGAGGGTGAGGGCTTTTGCCAAACCTGCTGAGGAATGCGGGTCGTGCTGTTGTTTCAACACGTGCAAGCGGCGGTGCCGCGTTCTTGGTGTGACTACTGCCTCGCGCACTAAACATGCACTGTCGCTCACGCGCTCACGCGCTCACGCGCTCACGCGCCGGGCATGATAACCAGGATCCCACACAACCGGACCACTCGCCTCTTTGTCTCTGAGCACGGTCCAGGACATACAGCCATGGGCAACTCTCGGCGCGGATCACGCCGCGACAGTGTGCAGGCCACGCGCCCCTGGAACGTCTCCTTTGTTGACCAGGGCAATGCCATGATCAACGCCGATGGGCAGCGCATTAAGCGGTCCGTTTGCCCCCTCCTCGTTGAGCATCTCACTCAGATCCATGTGCACTGCTCAACCCAGCCAGGCCTACTTGCTTCCCCCTTGATCTCACCAACCTCCTCCCGCTGACCGTGATCAGGCGCCAGTGGCGGACCCCAGAGATGCTGGCTGGTGCACCTCCCAAAGCCATTGTGTTCTTTTGCCATGGCTGTACGACTGTACCCCCGGTCTCTTTTACTCGCAACGATCTGCCTTGGCTAAACAAGTGCATTCACATATCCGCCCACCCTTGGTCCACCGTGTAGTTGCGGACCACTCGGAACGCCAGACCGTTCTTGCTGATCGTCTGACGCCACACAATATTTTCATGGCGTGCCACGACCACGGTCTGTCGCCTCTTTGAGATCGCCCCCCCCCCCCCCTCCCTTTCACCTCGTACAATACCGACGCCCGCATTTCTTCCCTGCGGCTTGTTCACCATGTGCGCCTGCGCACCGTGCTCGGTCCCACCAGTGGGACACGGACGCAGTGATGGCTACCCCGCCCACGTTGATGACTTTGACGTTTACATCCGAGATGTGATTGATGCAAGTACTGCAACTACGCTTGCTGAGCGACTCAGACCCGGCACCGCACCGCAGCAGCAGCGACCTCGCGCCTGCACTGCACTGACCCATGCTGATGGCCTTTGCAGGACCTTCATGAGTATCAACGCCTTTACCCCGACATCCCCGTCATCTTGGCCGGCGAATCCATGGGTGGACTCATTGCCATTCATGCGGCCATGCGAACACCCGTCGCCGCCGTCGTAGTTGTGTGAGCGCTCCTGTTTAGGCGCAATCGCTGCACCCGCCCACACAAGCCCGCTCATGCTGATTTATCACGTTGTCGCTGCTGACCCTCGTAGCTGTCCCGCCATTCGCCCTGACCCAGCCACTGCTGGACCAATTGTGGTACGTGGGCACCGATGGCGCTCACGTGCCAATGTGCACGCTCGCGCACACGGAATGTCTGTGGGGACGCCAGGACAATTCATGTGCTTGCACCTGGCCCATGGCATCTTGGCACTCCCACAGATTGGTCTCGCCAAGATTCTGGCCGCCATCAACCCCCGCATTGGTGTCAAGAAGCTCTCGCCCGACTACATGAGTCGCAACCAGGATACAATCGACGCGTTCCGCAACGATCCTCTCACCTACAAGGGTGAGGGCACCACCGAGCTTTGCAGCAAGCCGCTTTTCAATCATCGTGTTTTATCGTACTAACGTTCATACATGCATGTAGGCAAAGCCTTGGCTGGTTGGGGCGTGCAGATTCTCAAGTCCATGTTGTCTCTTGAGAGCCTGCTGCCGGTGCGTCACAAGGCCCCATGTGCCGCGAGTGTTTGGCCGGACCTCGTGCTCTGAACTGACTTGGCAAAAACCAACAACCCAACCCTCCTCTTGTAGACGTTTACTGCTCCTCTATTGGTCATGCACGGTGGTGCTGACAAAGTTACATCACTGGACGGTGCGTGGCTGCCTTCCAGCCGCGCGCACGTACCGCCTCACTTTGAGCTGGCCCACAAGTCCAATCAGAACCAGTGTGTCTGACTTTTTACAAATCGTCTGAATCTGCGAGCTCATGCTTGTCACTGAACACCGCAGGCTCTGAGTTTTTGGTGGAGAATGTGGGATCGCAAGAAAAGGAACTGAAGGTGTATGAAGGCATGTACCATGACCTGATGCATGAACTGCCTGAAGACACCGACAAAGGTATGATCATGGCTTGAAGTAAGCAGTGTTGGATGCACTGAGCTGACTGTGTTGCTATTCGACCCAATTGCAGTGTTGGACGACATGTGTCATTTTATCCGTTCCCATATTCCTGGTGAAATGCCAGCCAAGTCGCAAGAACCCACGCCAGTGGTGCCCAAAGAGACAGAAGTCGCCGCAGCCGCTGAACCGCAGCAGGAGGAAGGCCCTGTAGCCGCCGAGCAGCAGGAGGAAGTCCCTGTATCTACCGAGCAGCAAAAGGAAGCCCCTGTATCTACTGAGCATCAAAAGGAAGCTGCACCCGCAGCCGCCGAGCAGCAGGAGGAAGCCCCTGTAGCTACCGAGCAGCAGGAGGAAGCCCCAGTAGCTACCGAGCAGCAGGAGGAAGCTGTGCCAGTCACAACTGTCAGTGCCAAGGGAAAGACTCAGGTCTATGTCTGATTTCTCATCCCATTCTCTTGCTAAACTGCATTGCGGACCAAATTCATATGCTTGTGATTGCGTTTGTGCATCTTTCTGATTCTTTGCCCTTGTTTCTTTTGCTCTTGTTCTTGTTCTTCTTCTTCTTGTTGTTCCAGTTGTTGTTGTTACTGTCGAAATGGATTATTGCACGACTTGATGATATTATTGATGCATCAAATAAATTCAATGAACATCATTCAAAAAAAAAAAAATAGGAAGGGGAGGGACCTGATATGGACCTAGACATTTGACGCTTAAGCAGCCAATGAAGGACAGATTGGCACTAGCACAGGGACAAGAACAAACAACGCATGACATGAATCGGTAGTCAGGATTGAGCCTCAAACAGAAACGGAACAAAAGCAAACAAAAGCAAAAAGAAAGACCATTGAGGCAAACACTCACTCGGCAACAGCACAACTCACAAACGTAAAGACATGCATGACAGGACCGACGGATGGGAAAAGCCACACGTGACTCTTTTGATGCCAGACAGACGGCAAGAGAATAAAAGACACTCAAAAAACGTTAAGGATAACAACACAACTTGAGGCAAAAGACCTCCAGGACTTGAAGACAAAGTCGATGGGCCAGTAAGGCAACCGCAAGGACGCACAACACTAGTCATGCAACGCAGGGATACTGCAGCGCGAGCACAGCTCAACGTGGCAAAGCCCGATAAGTTCATGAGATGGGTCCGACGGGCCTCCTTATAGCTCGTCGTCTTCATCAACCTCGCTATAGTCAACATCATCATCCTCCGCATCCGGTTCCTCGTCCTCGTCGTACTGGCCATCGTCATCTTCGTCGTCATCACCACCATCCTGTTGGCCCTCCTCATCGTCATCCTCGACGTATTGATTGTCATCCTCGTCTTGCTCATAGGTAGCACCATCGTCCTCTTCGTCTCCTGCCTGGTCATCGCCACCCTGCGTAGTTTCGTCCTGATCGTACTCTCCGCCGGCATACTCGTCCTCTTCATAGGCATGCTCATCGTAGTCGCCATCTTCCTCTGCATCATCACCTTCATCGTTGTCGTCCACCACGATATGACTATCCGAGTCGACTACGACCACTTCGTCATCATCTTCGCCGTCCTCGTCCACCTCCACGTCATCTTCGTCGTCGTCGTCATCATACTGCGCCCCTTCCTCGGCATACAAGTCATCTTCGTTGGTGTCCCCAAGGGCGTTCATGTCGGCATCCTCGTCGTCTTCGTCTTCGTTAATCTGGTCAAAGTCGCCCTCGTTGGCCTCTTCTTCCGCGTCATCTTCCTCGTCATCTTCCTCCTCGTCATCGTCCTCGCCGTCGTCTTCGTCCTCGTCAAGACCTTGTGCTTCGCCAGTCTCGCCCTCTTCGTCTTCGCTCATGGCATTCTCATCCTCGTCCTCGTCCTCCTCATTTTCATCCTCATCTCCTTCAGCGTCTTCTTCTTCATCCCCGTCAACATGGAGATCGCCGCCAAAATCCTCGTCGTCATCGACCAAACCACCATGATCGACGCGGTGGTGGTTTGACTCGGCCTTGCCAGCATCAAACACGGTTGTTTCCATAGCCTCGTGCGAGCGACCAGACTGGTCCTCACCGGCATTGGGTGCCTCGTCCTCTTCATGATCTTCATCATCGCCATCCTCTTCGTCGTCATCGTCATAGGCGATGTCATACACGTTGAGGATGTCCCAGCGGCTGGAAAGCGCACAACCACTCAGGTACTTGACGAAGCGCATGGCTAAAAAAAAATATTACAACGGGAGAGAATAGAGCAGAGATGAGCGCAGTGGGAGGGAACAAGAAGCGGGCAAAAATATATATATATATAAACATCGCTAGCGGAATGATAACAGTTAGGTCGACGTACTGCCAGTGTCGCGCAGGACAATGCTCAAGGTATTGGTGCTCGCTGAGACGGAGAGGAGATCATTACCCTCGGCATCATCATCGCAATACACTTCAGCGGCAACATTGTCCTCGTTCTCGGCGGCCAGGTAACATTGAAAGCCACCGACGTCACCACTGGCCCACACCGCCGTCGCTTGCTCCGACTCCTCACGCACAAAGCAGAGTGTTACATCCAGGCGAATGTCTTTCTCTAATTGACCGTGGTGGGCTACTGTGTAATCAAGACCAGGACGGAATCGACGGATTTGGGAGGTAACCGCGCTAAGGCGACCACCCGTCACCCGCTGCAGCCACTTGGCAAAGGCAGTGGATTGGAAGAGCTCGGTCTTAATCTCATGAAGCTTCTGACCGGCCAGGCGCGCTGCTGTCACGGCCTCTGCTTGATTGTCTTGGGGGGCGTTGGCACCGTTGCTGTCGCCGTTGGTAGTTGCATCGGGACCGGGGAAGGTGAGGAAGCGCTGCATGTGGGCCGGACCGCGCGCAATCCAACCTCCACCCATGCCTGTGGCATCAGGGGGCAAGCCGTCCAATTGGAGGTTGGACTTGACGTCTGCGTCCATGCAGAGACCATGGACGGCGTCGCCGAGGGAGGGGTGCAGAAACTTGCGAAGTTGCAGGGAAGATTCGTCTTCAAACTTGGCGGAAAGAGCTTGAAGGGCGTCGTCCTTGAGGTAAGCCTCATTGAGAAAACGCGCCAGGTAGGCACGCTCATCGGCCGTGAGCTCGGTATCGACGGCCGGGGGCTCGCTGTCGGGAGCGGTTTGGGGTTCCGGCTTTGGAGTCAATCCCGGGATGGAGACGGGGGCTTCGGTTTCGGCACGCGCAATCTTGAGTTGATTGAGCGAGGCCATTTCGGTGCCTTCGGGTTCAGAGGCAGCATGAAACCAGCCCTGGATGCTGAGGCGCGGGCTGCCTTCGCGCATGACTTCTTGAACAGCGTGGTAGCTGCGACCAGGCTCGACGCGGAAAAAAGCCATGGTGTTGAAGAGAGGGAGGAGGCGTGCGGCAGGAATGGTTGAGGGAACCCCCTGTTCGAGTTGGCTCTTATCGGCACGTGTGAAGCTGGTCTGGGAGCTCTTTTCGAGGGGGAAGAGCTCGAGGGCACCGCCATCCTTTTCCGTCCAATCCTCGGCAGAAAAGTAAATGATGAAGGAGACGGCGCGGCTGCCAATGACGTCGTCGTGGCAAAGGAGGTGGCAACCCTCGGCGTATGCGGAAGCAGCCATGTCGACGCGATCAGTGAGCTCCCCGCAGCCTGCAATGCGCGAGATCATGCGACGAAAGGGTCCAGAGTAGAGGGCATCGCGCAGCTGGAGGAGGGTGGGCAGCTTGGCGGCCAGCTCAGGGTTGGTGCTGTCAACGTTGGCGAGGTCGGTCGTTTGGTAGAGCTTGAAGAGATCTGTTTCCTTGAACTTGGTCTCGAGCGTGCCGACAATCTCGTCGCGTACTTTTGTCAGGAGGTCGGTGGGGCAGAGCGGGGAGAAGACACAATGGCTGTATGGGGCTGCATTGACGTAGCGTTTGCGATTCTCGGCTATGGTGGCTTCCTCCAGGAGGTGCGGGGCGAGGACAGACAAGTCCACGGCCGGCGCGATTTTGCCGCGCTTTGCTTGGGGCTCGGTCGAGACATCGTTGCTTCCGTTCATATTGTTGTTGGTGGTGCTGCTGTTGCCAGCACTGTCGCCGTTGAGGTCGGCCATGCTAACAAGTTGGGCCGTACGAGCAGTCCTAAAGCACGATGACCATGGCGGGTGATCAGAGAAGTGGTTGTGACAGCATCGAGAAACCCCGCCCGGAGATAGGGCGCGCGTGAAGTGCCAGGCCAATGGCAGCCCCAGGCTTTGGTGTGCTTGTGTCCATTGTGCATGATGGGGCGGGGGTGTGATGGGGGCAAAGTGGCTGACAAAGAGAATCAGTGCACCACACAAAGAATCAAAATTCCCAAAAAAACAACCATGTGCTTGAAACACACACTCATGCTACCAATACACAAGGCCCTCCTTATGTGTGTATGTCTGTGTGTGTGTGTGTGTGTGTCTGTGTGTGTGTTGTGTGTGTTCTCTCTCTCTTTCTTTCTCTCTTTCTCTCTTTCTCTCTTTCTCTCTTTCTCTGTAACATATGAACGGGAAAGCAAAAAGTCACACAAAGAAGACTTACCCTTGTCTTGGTGCAGCAAATCGCTTTCAAGGAGAGAGAGAGTTGAGTGCGTGTTGGCTTGATGTCAAGCACACAGCAAACAACAACAACTCGCGCGCTCGCTCTCGGCCTCACGCGCACGGTCGCTCGCTCAAGCTGAGCGAGCGCGCACACGGGCGACGGCGGGTGGTAGCAAGGGCACCAAAGGTCACTTGGCTGCACGGTGTGTGCGGCTGTGGGCAGCTGGGACGGACGGGCTGCAAGTTTGAGCTGGTGGTCCGCAGCTTCGGACAGACAAATGGGCAGGGGCAGCAGCAGCCTGGCTCGCATGCGCTGAATCGCGGCAAGGGTTGTGGACAGGCAGCGATGAAGAACCCAGGGATCCCGGCTGGTTGCGGCAGCGCTATTGTGTGGGCTGGTTCAAGCACGCGACACCACGTTGGGATTGGAGAAAATGGCAGCTCAACAAGCCGATCTGTGCAGAGCGGGTGCTCTCCAGCTCAAGAGAGCGTGTGTGTGTGTGTGTGAATGCGAGGAAGTGTTTTCAAGCCCGTTAACGTTGAAACCTTATTTAAACCTTATCACTACTACTCCATTGGATGTTGGGACGTTTGGATGATCTCTCTGTGTTGAAGTGTGTGTGTGTGTGTGTGTGTGTGTGTGTAGAGAGAGAAGAAAGAATCAGTGTATCAAGATAATATGCAAGGTAAGGGAGACGTCTTCTCCTAATAGCTTATGAGTGAGGGCAAATCAGTAACAGAAGGAAGGAGCAATGATAAACTCACCACTTCATTCTAAAAAGAAGGGAACGCTGACTGACTTACTGAATGTGACTGCTTGAGACGGGTGGTGGTGGTGGTGATCAAAGCGGGACGTTTCTCTTCGTCGCGAAAGATGTTCGTCGAGTGGGGACACACACACACACACACGCACACGCATGTACAAAACCATGTGTGTGTTAAACTTGGGCTCGCTTTTCTATTCTAATTTCTCTGCTTGATGTCGTTGCACGCACACACACACAACAGTGCACGCACGCGTGGTCATGCACTCCAATCACGACTTGCATCACACACACCAGCAGGCCAATAAGCGTGAACCTCACTGTGAGTTGCACACACCAATGTGAGGGAGAGCAAAGCCTACAAGGAAACAAAGAAGAAGCAGAAGCACATGTAGCATCACTGGAATCCTCATAGAGTGATTGGCTTGCAAGCGGTATGTAATGTCTCCAACCTTGTGGCTTGGAAACAATCTTCCAGGCTTCAGAGCCAGACCTGGAGTCTCCCAGTCTGGCCAGAGACTGAGTCGAGCTTGGAGATTGTCAGCGCCAGACCAAACCATCAAACCGTAAGAATGGGTGGAGGGGGGCACACGACACGACGGATCAATGCAAGGCAGGGTGGGCCTGGGTAGCCGATGTCTCGGCTTACAATGTTGCAAGGTAGATTGAGAATGCTTGCGTTGCACCCAAACCCCCATGACATGGCGGAAAAAGCGGAATTTGATAATTCACAACAGTCAAGAGACGGTCAGAAAAGCCAGAGAAAGAGTCAATTGGCACGGCAATAAAGAGTAAAAAACGAAGCAACCAGAGTTATGCCTTGTAGTCCTTGAGGGCCGGGTGCTGCTCCCAGTTGGGATCATCCTTGGCCAGAAGATCGACGTAGGCCTTCATCGCGTCTTCCTTGGACATGCCTGCATGCGCCACAAAACCCACCCCCGGAAGGCAAACCACCATCAGATTGGATCGCACACTTGCAAACCAAAGTACACGCACACGCACTCTGACACATTTGTTTGCAAAAAAGACTGACCGCGCACAGAGTTCCAGGCCTTCCACTTGGCCGAGGCCTCGAGCTGCAAACCAATCACACGGGCCGGACGAAGAGAGATTGAGCCAAAGAAACCCTTTTTCCCAACCAACTGAGACAAGACACTACGGGTGGCACGCGCTGACCTGCACGGCCCAGGGCTGGCTTTCGTTGTTGTCGCCGACGGTCGCTTGCTTGTAGTACTTGTAGAAGCTGAGCTTGGTCTCGTTGCTGCTGTCACCCACCGCGGGACCGTTGCGGATCAGCCAGACGGCCTTGTTGAACTGAGCCTCAGTCATGATGATGGTTCGGTTGGCTGTCGAAATCAAACGGGAAATCAACTAGGCAGAAACACACGCCCAAGCATCCAGCAGAACACAAGGTGAGTATCACAAGAGAGTCGCAACAAAGCCACCCGGCCCAATCTTCTGCACCCGACTCACGAGATCCCTCCAAACAAAAACCGCGAGCGGCCAAACAAGTCTGATTCCTGGCCGCAACCGAGAACCAAAACCAAAACAGGTCGCGTCATTCCATAAAAACAATAAAGGGCAACTGCCATGGAAGATAAATCCCATCTTCACCTCACGAATCTCTTCCCCTTGCGCCCGTCCCTCCTGGGCCACGCTTCCCAACCACCGGCCACCGCCGAAACCCAACGGCAAGACCACTGCCGCTCATCACTGGCGAGCGAGCGAGCCTCATCCAGCAGCTTGCGCTGTATTGTTGGAGGCCAAAGACCAACCTGCTTGCAAGCAAAAATGTCGTCATGTTTTCCTTGGCTGGAGTTGGACCCGGAAAAGCTCAACAAGCTAAAAGTTTTACCACGAAAAATCAGATTCAAGTCTATACAAACCATGCACCGCATGCACTTTTCTTTTTATCCCGTACGTGCTGTGTGATGGACCAGAAAGACGCTGCCCTTGGCGCTGCCGCTGCCGCTGCCGTCACCGCTTGTCGCCTGAGGCTGGGTTGTTAAACCCCTGTGTACCTGCTCTGCCACCCCCTCACAAGCCTTGGCTCACACCATTCCTGCTGCCACTCGTAATGTTGACAGGATCGCTAAGTCAAATTTTTTTGAACCGGGCCATAACCTCACCGTCAAAATGGTCAAGGTCGATCGCAAGACTTGGAAGAAGCTGTACTTCCAGCGCTTCTACGAGTACCTCGAGAAGTTCTCGCGCATCCTCATTGTGCACGCCGACAATGTTGGCTCCAAGCAGATGCAGGACATCCGCGCTGCCCTCCGCGGCAACTGCGAGCTCCTGATGGGCAAGAACACCATGGTCCGCCGTGCTCTCCTCGACCACGAGAACGAGATCTTCCACGAGCTGCTCCCCCACATCAAGGGCAACGTTGGCCTTCTCTTCACCAACGACGACTTTGTCGCCATCCGTGACGTCCTCCTTGACCACAAGGTTGCCGCCCCTGCCCGTGTCGGTGCCATTGCCCCCGAACCCATCATCATCCCCGCTGGTCCTACCGGTCAGGATGCCCAGAAGACTTCCTTCTTCCAGGCCCTCAACATCCCCACCAAGATTGCCAAGGGCTCCATTGAGATTATCTCGGAAGTCCGTCTTCTGGAGGAGGGTGGCCGTGTCGGTCCCTCGGAGGCTGCTCTCCTGAACATGTTGGGCATCTCCCCCTTCAGCTATGGTCTCGTCGTCGTCCAGATCTACGAGAACGGTGCCTGCTTCAACCCCAAGATCCTGGACATCACCAACGATGACCTCGTTGCCAAGTTCATGGAGGGTAGCCGCAAGGTTGCTGCCGTCTCTCTGGCCATTGGCCGCCCCAACCCGGCCTCGGTCCCCCACATGGTCATCAACGGCTACAAGAACGTTCTCGCCATCGCTTGCGTCACCGAGATCACCTTCCCTCTCGCCGAGAAGGCCAAGGCTTACCTCGCCAACCCCGAGGCCTTTGCCGTTGCTGCTGCCCCTGCTGCCGCCGCTGCCCCTGCTGCTGCCGCCGCCGCTGCCCCCGAACCCGAGTCGGAGGATGATGAGGAGATGGACGGCTTCTCCCTCTTCGATTAAGCTTCCTGTCTTGTCGTGCGCCAAGCCTCGTAGCGCTCTGCCAAGCCGCTGTGCTGCAGCCCCTGGCTGATGCTATGGCCCAAGTGGGAGATTTCATGCCGTCCGTGGCTGGTCTCCCGCCGTCGGTCCTGGTGTTGCGAGCTTCTCGAGTGCCCATGTGCACCTCAACTCAATTGACGTCGAAAGCCATGACATTACTTTCTGTTGACTTTCTCTTTCTCTTGTCAATGTGTTTCCTAACTTGATCCCGTTGTGCTTTCTAAAAGAGTGAGGAAGCAAGCGGACTGCTGCTGGTTCCTGTCTGGTCGAGCCTCAAGATGGAGGATAAAACAAAAGATTAAAAAGGCTCAATTAATAGCATCGGCTTGGCCTCAACCAACAGTCCAACTGCAATGAGGTGAGGCACCGGGCACGGAAAAAAACTCGCAGCAAGAACAAACAGTATTCGCAGGCGTCTTGTTCTATCCTCACCGGACGTTGATCAGAGGTTCAGAAATGGGCATTTCTATCAGCGCCGTCACCAAGGGGCGTGGGTTGGGCGGCATATACACATGAGCCGTGATCGGTGAAGAAGTCAGCTCCTCACTCTCCAAATACTTGACCAGCGTAGCCTTGCGATAAATGACACCAGGCACCGCGCACGGCAAATGCACCACCCGATCCTCCAGCTAAAGGCAACCCCCCACCAAGTTATGCGCAGTGTAATCTGACGGTCGAGGCGGTCCCACGCTACCCAAGCATCGCAGCATCGGCCAGTAGACGTACCTCATACATCGTAGGATCCGCATGGAACGAAATATGGATGTCCCGCGCCAATTGCTTGGGCGATGTATTCTAAGACATCGAACGAAGGGTGATGGCACACACATGCACGAGGCCATGTGAATGCCATCACAAAGAGCATCTCATTGACAACGCGATGACGCTTGCGTCCACCACCACCTCATCTCAAGGACCTTCCTTTCAACCACGCCCCCCCCTCCCAATCCTCTTCGGAACGATCACTGTCATGTCCTGCTCCGCACCTGCACCTTGACGATGACCTTGAAGTGCGGACCAATGCCGTGCACCTCTGCATCCACCTAAAAGCGTGAAAGCCATGGCCACCCGGCCAAGTATCGCCCAGATGTGAGGCGGGCAGGCCCAGTCGGCCAGTATGTGCAGGATGAAGACCGCCGAAAGGTTCAACCACGCTCTACCACATACGTGCAAGGAGACATCCTGCGTCTTGACATCGGGCGCTAGACTCTTTTTGATTGCCTTAACATAGTTGCGCGCTGCGCCGGCGTACCCACCCCAACCACAAACCCCAAGCCAGGAGTGCATTTGTGAGCAATTCACAGATCAACAGAGTGGCGTGCTTCGTTGAGACAGCCATGGCGAGCAATGCGAGGTGCCAAACAGACCAATGTTGAGCTGCATGAGATACAGATCCCGTTGAAAGATACGATGCATCTGCACGGCGTGGGCCTTCTCCCGCATGGTCTGGTCAACGTAAAGCTGTGTCTTCTTTGGCACTTTTATGCGCACATTCTGCTCGGGGGGTGCCCCTTGCAGTCGATTGCGATTGGTAAAGTCGGCGCCCTTCTTCACCCGCGCCAGGAATAGACTACCATCGGTCCCCACGCCCGCAAAGACATATGTACCCCGCCAAATGTGATCAAACGCAACCCCCGCTAAAGGCATGGGGCTCGAAAATGTGTCAATCAGGCCCGTGTCCGTGAACACGTGCACATGTCGGTCAGCCGTTGCGACCATCACACCCTGCCAAAAAGAGCCCAAGAAGAACCACGATGAGTTGGAGCAGGGTTGTGCAGTTGAGCAATCAAAACGGCAACTTACGCGGAGCATTTTGATCTTGTAGTCAAACGCGCAGCAGCTCAAGGGCACATCCGAAAAGGCGTGCTCCCAGAGGCGTCGGCCCTTTGAATTGAACGCCAGCAAATGACCGTTGGTACACGTGACCAAAATGGCCTTGCCAATACTACGGACAACACCCAAGCATGCCATACAAGATGAGAATAGACAGAGCACACCTCAAGACGGTCAAAACCTTGGTGGTATGCCCATTCCATCCCTTCTCGTCAAGGCCAAGTGAGAAGCCGGCAACATTGAATATCGAGCACAGCCACTGTTCTGACGCGCGCGCCCTCTAAGCTCAACACGACTGCGTACCGCTGACAGTCGACGGCAGGGGATGGCAGGTCAATCACCAGATCCGAGACGGCTTTGCTGTGAGCCCACATGGAGTGAGGTGGCATGTGTGATAGAAATGCTACCTGACTGCCATCGCAAACCACAAAATTCAAACACACACACACACACACACACACACACACACACACACAAATTGAATCCACCTACTCTTTGATGATGTAAAGCTTGTTGTCACGAGAGACGGCCAGAATGCGATAATCAGTCTCAAAGGCACCCGCCACCGAGAGGCAGGCGATCGCGCTATCGTGTCAGAATCGCCAAAATTTAGCAACAAACCACAAATCAGACATTTTGCAATAGCACCTCAAAACTATTCACCGAGCCATGGGTGTGCTGCAAGTCATCAACACTTGGCAACCAAAGGCCAGCCACGTGCATGAAGAGACACAAACCCAGGCAGATTGAAGCGCGCAAGAGCGGCAAACTTTTCGGGAGATAAAATCAACACCTGCAAAGATGACGCATGCCAAAATGGACACCATTAAAGGAGACAATGTGGAGTGAGAGGCCCAGCACACTTGGATCATGACGCTGCCTTCAGAACGAAGAGCCTGCTCGCACCTGGCCCTGCTCTGTACCCAAGACGATGCATTGCGGGGCCCGCTCCTCCACAATGTTCTGTGCGGGGGGGGATCACCAAGTCAGTAACAATTCATCGTGCTCCAGGTATGTCGAGCCAACACCCCGACAAGTGCGGACCCTGTGTTTGAGCCACAGCTAACCTTGTACATGGTGGCCATGGCAGTGATGGAAGGCTCCGAGACAATGGGCAGGTCTTTGATGCGCTCCACATAGCTTGCCCGATCCTCGGGCTCGAGCGCTGGGTGAAGTGGGGTCGCGGCCGGGGGGGGTTGAATGGGTGAAGAAGACAGGTCATTGGGGGTGTCAAATGGGTTTGCGGTGCAATGCAAGACTATCGTTGTCCAGGTATGCATGACCGACCTAGCAGGTGCAGACTGCGACCAGAGAGCTCCTGGTGAGAATCTTGCAAAGAAAGGAGTGCGTCGCACATGGCATCGACGTCCACCTAAGGCAAATGCCGAGTTGAAGGGTGAACAAACAGCATCTCAAGCCCAGAATCCACCGCCGACTGGTTGAAATTGTAAGAAGCCACCGCCAAGGTAAGAAGAAAACCTACAGTCTCGCTTCGGGCGTTGGCCCAGATGTCTCGCTCCTCCTCGGCAATCTATCCCGTTATGACCGAGGGGTGGAACAGAGAGTATGAGTTTCTGGGCTAATGAGAACAGGTCGCGAGGTGTTGTCGTTCACGCCAAGTGTCACCTCAATGGGTGGGAGTGTGTTTTTGAGAAATGGCTTCAAGTTCTTGAACACGTAGAGTGCATTGCCAGCTGCAGCAGTGAGCACGGGCAACTGGTCATCGGGTCGTTGATAGATGGCAGCCACCCCGACGGGCTGCCCGGGAAGCGAGATGCTCTGCGGTCGTTCAAGTGCGTACGCGCCAGGCATTGAGCAAGAGGGGTGTGAGTCAACAAGGATGGGCGGTACCAATGAAAGCTGGCGATCATGTTAACGTCGAGAACCAAGCGCCCGGACCTGCGTGAGGCTCCCGCCCAAGTAAATGTCAATGCATCCATCATCTCCATTCTCCTTGAAGGAGCCAATGACAATCTAGATGGTACAGAGCGCCAAAGACGACTCTCAATGGGTGAGGTATCAAGCACTGAGGGCAACGGGAAGCCTTGCTAGTGTATGACAAAGGTGATCAGCGCACCTTGGCCTCGCCCTGGTCATCAAGATCAGCCAAGCCTAGATGGCATTTTCCCGCAAAAGTAAGGGGAGCAGCAGCAAACTGGACAAGTAGAAGGGAAACAAAGGCCACAAGCACTGAAATGGCATCGCGGGTGATGCGATGGCTGAGGACATACACATGGTCTGACTAAATGCGCGCAGGGTGCTGAGCGGCTCATGCAGCAGTCGCGACCAGTTGGGCGAGCCTGTTGACGACGAGGCGACACCGCAAGGGGCAAGCCAAAATGAGTCAGGGCCCAGCTGATCCATTCGGCAAGACGCGCAAAGCAAGCGCGCCGGTCGGTGATCAAGCACAAGGGCCGGGGCGCTGATGTAGCACTGAGAACGCCGCGAAAGGGAGGGGGTTGCCAACGACAGTCGCACCTAAATCACGAGGACCCTCCCCAAAACCAGCATCTGTGGCAACGGCCGCCTCGGAAGCCAATCCAGCTGCAACATCATGAGCCGCTGTGGCTTGCCTTGCACTCGTAGGTACACTGGCGCTCGCCATGATACCTGCTACCCTTGCCCTTGCCCCTCGTCCAACCAACTCTCGTTCAAAGCCAGACGCGCCCTCTCTCTCTCTCTCTCTCTCTCTCTCTCTGAAAAAAAATTCAGCAAACTCTGACAAAATTCTGAATCTTCTGCCATTTGTCAGATTTTATTACTTTTTCTCTCTCTCTCTCTCTCTCTCTCTCTTTACTCAAACCAATTCATTCTCTCTCTCTCTCTCTCTCTCTCTCTCTCTCTCTCTCTCTCTCTCTCTCTCTCTCTTTCTCAAACCAATTCAATTTTCTCTCTCTCTCTCTCTCTCTCTCCATCACTTCTCTGACCGTCGATGCTGCTTGGGATCACTCCCCGCCCCGCATTGGCGATCAAGACGTGCTCAAGAGCGACCTGTGGGCAACGGGGCAGAGCGAGAAATTTAACAGTTGCATTTTGGGCGTAGGTCTGCAAATGCTGGAGTCATGGGCAGCACCATTGATCCCAACTCGTTTGTCTGCCGGGCAGCTCAGCTGTCGGGCGAAGTGACAGTCGGTGCAGGCACCATCCTGCATCCGACATCTCGCATCCTTGCTACGGTATGACCCTATGCGCCTCTTTGACCCACCCTCATCCAACTTTCCTTGATCTGGTGCACCGAATTATGTGTGCTGCACCCCCCCCCCTCTGCATCTCCCTGCATCCGCCTCCTCCGGTTGCCTCGCATCGAATATCCATCCGTCTGAGTGACCAAGTGCGGCGTGCCTAACCCAAACCGAATCTTGTACTAGCATGGCCCAATCATTATTGGCGAAAACAACAACATTGAGGAGCAATGCCTCATCGAAAACAAGTGAGGATCTAGCACCTCGAGCTACAGATGCGATGCACTGCCCCTCTTGCTGACAGTGGCATTTCCTCTATTGCCTTGACATGAATTAGACAAGAGGGCACAGTCCTCATCATCGGAAACGGCAATGTCATTCGCGTCGGATCCAGTATGTCTCGCTGCTGCCCCGACTTGGTCGTGGACTATTCCATGCACACTGCTGTACTTCTCACGGCCAATTTTCGCGACAGCGGTGACGGGCCGCGGCATTGGCAATGACAACTTGATCGGACCCAAAGGTCTGTGACCCATGCCCATCTCCTCCCCTCGGCGCTGCCGCGTAGGTGGCTAGTATGTCAATATAACAATCGTGCTCATGGGCCTCTGCTCGCATCCCATTGGCTATGCACAGCCATGGTCGGCGCCAATGCAACAGTCGGCAACCAATGCGTGGTGGGCCCCAAATGCACCATCACAGACTGTGAGGTCAGACCCATCCTCTTGAAGTCATGGCACAGGCGTGTCGTCCCGTTGCCTGTCACACCCGCCTGGCCCTGTGGCCGCTTTGCTCATTTTTACCCACAACGTGGTGTGCCATCGTTAGCTGGCCGACCAAACCATCGTAACCAGTGGCGGCCAAGTTGTGCGACGTGACCCTACCTACACCAAGGTTAGGACGCACCCCACCAGAGCCACCCGTTGCCACCCAGTTGAGTCCACCAACAACCCTCTCGCCTCACCTGCTCATGCACACCGCCTCAATCCCAGCCATATGCGCTCGAGGCCGAGCGCCAGGTGCTGGCCACCACTCTGGACAAATTCCACCCGATGCAAAAGTAAAAACCATAGGCCTGAATGTAGTAAAATTGATGTACAAGATAAATCTAGATCAACCTTAAACTCCCCTCTCGCCTCTCCAGTCCCGTCTCCTCAACCAGCCTGCCGATCCGCTCCTATACAACCAAGCGTTCTTCTCACGCAGCAACAGTCAGCGCGGAAAAAAAAAAAAAAAACTCATTTAAGTGGTGTAAAAAAAAGAGTAAGGAGCCTGCACGATATACTCAGCTATTACGCATTCGAACGTACGACCCTTCGGACTGCAGCCGAAAGCTCTACCCCTGAGCTAAGACTCCTAAGCTTACAAGTCCGCCAAAAACTTTTATATATAAATGCTATAAACTTGCAAACCCGATAAAAAGTATGACATCTCGAAAAAAATTCCAGAACAACCTGTGGTGTGACTGATGTGTAAATGTCATACTTTAAGGTGAACGAGCCAAAAAGGATTGAGGAGCCTGCACGATATACTCAGCTATTACGCATTCGAACGTACGACCCTTCGGACTGCAGCCGAAAGCTCTACCCCTGAGCTAAGACTCCCATTTGTTGAGAATTTGACGAAAATTGTCTTATATATATGGTAAGCAGACGATAAAAAAATTTGAAATTTTTGAATTTTGTGTTGTGTGTGTGTTGCTTTTTGCGAGAGAGCGTGAGTGCGAGACTGCGGCTGGTCGAGTTCCTTCAAAAGCTTCTGGTGCTCATTCGAAATCTGGCGCATTGCTTCACGGAGCAGCCTTGCTTTCGTTGCTGAGGCACACGGTATTGACGGGCTGGTCATGACGCCTTCCGAGGCGGTGTGATGGCTCTCCATGCGCCCTCACCGCTTTCTTCAATTTTGTGGTGGGAGTAGATTGACACGATTTTGACTTGTCTCGTGCTCGAGCTCATATTTGTTGTACTCAGTGAGAGGTACGCTGGCCCTCTCCTTGTGCCTGCCGCCCACCCAACGCGCGTCCTTGCGCGGTGTTGCCTCTGCATTAACAGACGCTTGGTCTGCCGAATGCCTGGCCCATTGTCGACTTGGACAGCCACAAACCCCACCAGCACCATGGAGGAGCGCGTGCCAGAAGCCCAAGACTTTGTCGCGCAAACCGATGAATACTCGCTGCAGCAGGACGACGTCTTTCGTGCCTTCAAAAAGTACGAGCCTTGACCTGCTCGCGCTTTACCTCCCTGTGTTGCGCCCGTTGTCCTCTCGTGACATCCGACCCTGCATCTGGCACCCCTCCGTTTCTGAGCTAGGCAGGACATTGAGGCAACGTTGGCCGCGGCGTCCACCGGCAAGTTTAGCGACTACTGGACCGTTGAGCGAGTATGTATCCTTGGACGCTGCTTCATCAATTTTTTTTTCTCCTGCTTTCCATGTGCGTCACCTGCCTGACGCTGACCTGTCATCTCGTCTCAGTTGGTAGATCTCAACAACATTGTCGACGCCGATTCCCGGGCTTCGTCCGACATCAAAAGTCCGTCTCTAGCCCTTGTGTTTGGCCAGCCGGTAGCATGTCTCAAAACTACCATGCTCAACCAGTTCACACCAAGGACATGGGTCTACCTCGTTTTACCTAACACAACAATGCCTTGGTCGTGATCGCGTTTGTGGGACAGGCATCTTTACGGGCTCAAAGAACCCCCGCCTTCGCGTACGTTGAATCAATCACCGCGGCTGACACCTGCCCTGACTCTTCCAAGCTTGTCCCTGCGCTTTGAGTCTTGTCGCAGGGTCTTTTGACTCATACTTGCGCTTTGTGTCATCTCTTTGCGTGGCCATGAATGTGTCTGTGCCCGTCTGCTTTAGGCCAACAAGCTCGGTGCGCTTGTGTTGACGCACAGCCTGGAGCTGAAGGATCAGGTGCGGTGCTCCTTGTACTGTGCTCCTTGTACTGTGCTTGCATTTACGTCCCCGGCGGCGCTTCGCCGTGAGCGTGTTGACAGGCCAGATCTCAACCATCGTTGGTAACGCAGGGCTTCCCGGGCGGTGGTTCGGATACCGGTGGTCATCAATTCTCCGCACCTGAACCCGTCTTCTCTGCTCCTGCCCCTACGTCACAGAGCTTGAACAGCACGTCCCGTACGTGGCTTGCCGAACGAATGATTCGCATTGTTGCTTGCTTGTTTGGCCAACCCGTTGATAACGTGCTCCTGTCCTCTTTTTTTCGCGTTTGGAGCAGGTTCGGTCAGCGGTAATGGTGCGCCTCCCACCGCAAGCGCGATTCCTTTTGGTGGGTTGCGAACTTGACGTCCACAATGCTGACTCTTGCGCGCCATGCATTGTGGGCATCATCACTTGGTCTTCCTCCTCTACTTGTTGCGCCCCTCATGGTAGGCCAGCTACAGCGCTTCGCCTTTGCCCCGGATTTGCCCCCGGATTGCCAGCTGCGGGTGCGCAAGGGCCCGGACGCCGATAGCGAGACCATTGCAGTTGTAACACGCGATGAAGAAATTTTCGCGGTTGCCGAGCTGGGTGACTGGATTCGTGTTGAGCTTCCGGGTACGACGCCAGCGATGTCTGTGCTCCTTGCGCACTGGCCTGGCCTGGTTCGCCCAATGTGTGATATACGTACTTTTGATTGCATGGCTTGCGGGGCTTGCTTTCAGGCACGGGCCTCAATGGTGAACTTTGGATGATGAGTCGCATGGAAGGCCGAGTGCTTTTGGTTCCCGCCGAGGCCCCGGCTCCTGTCGCGCCCGCTCCTGCGGCACCTCACTTCGGGTGCGCCTCTCGTCTTGGGTGTTTGCCTCGTGAGGTTGTGGCTCTTGCTTCCGGGGACGTGCTGACCCGCCTCCGCTCACCGCGCTTTTCTGCCCTGCGTGCTCTCTCTTGTGTGCTGCGCTCCTGCCAGCGCACCTGCTGCCTCCGACCCCGCGCCTGATTTCAGTCACGTTGTTCATCAGGAGCCTGCGGGAATGGTGCGCTGTTGTGCCTGTGTCACTTGCTTCTGACATCTTGCATCGTGTGTGTTAGTTCCGCTCATTTATTTGTTTGGGTGCCTCTAGGTGTCGGCACCCCGCATGAGCCAGAGCGTCAGTGCTGCGCTCAACACGTCGCAGCGCCCTGCCTCGCGTGGTGGCCTTGATCCCTTGTCTGCAAGCTTGATGGCCGTTCGTACGTCTTTGCGCATGCCATGCGCTTTGGGAAGAGCCACGCGTGGTGAAGCGACCGTGTTGTCGTCCCTCATTGTCATGTAACTGCTTAGGCCAATCCACCGGCAACAATCCAGTCCTGCATCCATCTGCAGACGGCAGTGCTCAAGCTCTCGTCAGCTACGTGCGTGCTCAAGTCGTGTTGTCTGCCGCTCTGTCCTACCCCGCTGTCGCAAGTACGCGCCATGTGTGTGTGTGTGTACTAACGCTGTGTTGTTCTTGTTGGTGCGCGCTTCGCTGCACGTTCCTGCTCGTGCGCCTCACGTAGACTGATTATCAACGTTTGGAGCGTCGTGTTGAGTCGTTGGAGAATGCCCTCGTGGACTTGATCAGCAAGCTTCGGAGCGTTTAGACCAGGCACTTGAACCACGAGGCTTGGAGGTGGCAACCCTGCCAATTCTCCTCAACGTTCAGAACAGACAGTTGATTGTTGCATAGAAAGCGTGTGGAGGGTCTCAGTGGCCGGAATTCAGTTCTTCTCTTCTTGTTAGCGTCAAACCCGTGCTTCCCTGACACTTCTACTTCATGACTTGATGTCAAAAACATCGCCGATATGTTTGACACGACTCGGCTCCCTTGGACAAGCATCAATGATAGCAAATGGTTCAGCAGTCGGTCAACACATGGCAAGCATCGTCCAACACAACTCGAGGAATTGCGAAAAATTCAACAAAAATTCAGCCAAAACACATGTCTATTTTTAGACGACACAAAAAGCCGGAAGGCCAGAAATGGCTACTGAGAGCTTTGGCTCGAGTCGTGGTTTATATGCAGAAACATACCCATGACCCCCAGCTGGTCCGACGGTACATGGTTATCACCAATGGTCTATCGGTGGTGCATCGGCACTGCCATCAACTCCATGTATCAATCTTTGATCGCACACGTCAAGTTTTTTTTCCGGTGTCACAAACACGCAACAAACTGGCGACCATTTTGTCTCTCGAATACACATTCCAACGTGTGATAGGCACATCTGTACCATGGCCTGGTATGCCACGCTGCTGCATCACGATGTGTTTTTTTGCTCAAGCACGCTACTGTCAGGCTCCAGCACGTCTGGAGGCCGTCTTTGGGTTGCGAGGAAGCGCGTAGGTTTGAGGAAGCGTTTTGAGAGAGGTTTGAGAGACGTCCGTCGGAGCGGAGCGAAAGCTTTGGTGGTGTCTTGAGGTCAATTGAACCAGCTGCGGTCGGCAAGCATTCACAGTGACCAGACCAGGTGCACCGTTAGAATAGCTGTAGAGTCGCTCAATCCCGAGGATAGGGAAAGTCACAAGAGAGCAGAGCACACAGGAGAGCAAGGGGAAGACAGAATGGCAGAGGGCTTGACGTACCTGCGGTCGGCAAGCATTCACAGTGACCAGACCAGGTGCACCGTTAGAATAGCTGTAGAGTCGCTCAATCCCGAGGATAGGGAAAGTGCAACTCGTGCCCGACCGCAGGTGTCACAACAAAGGGAAACAACAGTAGCCACAAGCTTATTGCCCCAGGGCAGCTGCCCAGGCATCGTGGGGACCGCGTCACACGCGGTGTTTACTCATGTGACTGCCACGAGGAGGATCAAGCCCAGGGGGTCCAAAAGTAGGTGTCAATGTGTGAGGTCGTCGTAGCTATGGAATACCAATAGGAAGACCCATAGCGACCGATGCTGAGTGTGTGCGAAAGCAGTGGGAGTGTTCAAATGCGTGGAAGCACGGATTTGACGCTAACACCCCCCCTCGCCAGCCGGAGCCCCGATCCGGCGAGGATGGTTCAAAGACAAACGGAAGAAAT